CTCTCAACCTTCTGTCCCCGCACGAGAGGCATCCCCGATTCATGTCAGCACAAAGGAGAGTTGTGATGCTCCTGATAGACGGGCAGAGGTTGCTCCTACTAACACTGCTGACTGTGAGTTGTATGTTGCGGGTCCTCCCGAGCATTTGGTGGCATACGATACGTATTATATCTTTGACATGTATTTGGTACACTGTTAAGCATTATATAGTCTAAAATATTTTATCATTTGTTTACCTTAGGGAAAATGTATGCATTGGGGTCAACCATCCACCACCAGATTATTGGACATGATATGATAAGAGTGGTGGTTGTAGATGTCCGGGATGCCGTCGCCCCAATCCCTATTCCCACCGAAGAGGTTCAAACGAGTGGGACGAGCACTGGAAATTTTATCTTATGGCCAGTTCATTAACAAGACCCATCCCAACACATTCACAGGTTGTGTAATGCATTTATCCCTTTTACTTATTATTTTTTGATAGGTTGATGTATATTAATGGTATTTATTTTTGGTACTTGTATAGAAAGAGGCTGAAAAAGTAAAGGAAGTTGTGCATGAATCACCACCACCACCGACTGCTTTACAGCGACTCGATGCACTAGCAGCGACTATCGGGACCACTCTCATACGCGTTAGATATGCCACCCGAAGTCGTATGCAGGACCCGAGATGATCCCTTTTTCTTACTCCAAAGGGATATTTTTGATCTTCTCGCTGGTATCGATATGCTATGTGTATCGGTGTTGCAGCTTTGGGAATTGTAAGTATATTTACATATTTTTTATATTCTCACCTGGTACATTATTTTATAACTTTATTTATTTTCAATGTTGAAGGTATTTACATTGTTTGTGTGTTGAGAGGAAGATTGCCTTTATCTATGGATTTGTTGACCTCGTTGCCATTCAGTCCATTGGGAATAAAGCTCGAAGAGGTGCAAACGTACTTAATAGAGACATTTCAAAATGGAGGCAAAGAAGTCTACTTAGCACCTTACTTGCATCAGTAAGTATACATCTTATAAATTAATGAACATTTATGTAAAACTAAAATTTTACTAATATTATTTCAACGTGCAGGGGTCATTGGCAGCTCATAATCATTGTTCATCGGCAATTTGTTGTGATTCTCTTGTGTTCATTACACAAGAAACCAAATGATTTGGATATTAGAAAGCACATAGACGCGTAAGTTTGGTTTTTTTAATTGATTTTTTAATTGTTGTATCATATGTGCACTTACACCAAAATTATTTGTCCTTTTGTAGAGCTTTGGAAGCTCACCTAAGGTTGCAAGGCCTTCCATCTCATGCTAGAAAGAAGTTGACGTATATTGCACCAAAGGTGACCAAACACCTCTTATTGTTGTTCAATTTGTCATTTAAAGTTAAACTGACATGTATTTAACTTGTAGTGTCCACGCCAACCGGGAAGCCATGAGTGCGGGTATTATGTGATGAAGCACATGCACACCATCGTAGCCAAAAATATTATGGGCTCATGGAGGGAGGTAAATATACTATAATTAAGTCAAATATGCCAATTATGTAAATGGTTTCTAAATCTGAAATGTTTCAATATGTAGGCATTTACGGACTCATCTCCAATGAAGATTGAAGTGTTAGACGATATTAGAGAGCAAGTGAGCTTCTTTCCTTCTAAGTATTCAATCTTCATAGCAAATTTGACTTGTAACAATTTTGATTGAATTGATTTAAGTTAGCAAATTTACATTCGTTTAAGTAAATGAACTGTCTGGAACTGAGGTACATATATTGATTTCAATATGTTTCATATGTACATATCTGTCTGGAACTATATATGAACTGTGCATATCTGTCTGTACAAGTGTTTGGATCTGTGAATATTTGTCTCGGAACTATGATGAATAGGCAGTGTCTACTCGAAGAAAGGTAGCATCTCGTGAAGAAAATGCAGATTTTTTAAAAAAATAACACTTTCTACGCTCGGCTATGTCATTACCCGACGTAGAAAGTACTTTCTACGTCGGTTAATGACATAACCGACGTAGAAAGTTTAACATTTTATGTCGGTTATAGGCATAACCGACATTGATAACACATACAATCACGATCACGTTAACCGATATAGATACTCGGGGTTATAGAAAGTTAGAAAGTAAGACTTTCTATGTCGGTTATCGCTGTTAACCGACATAGAAAGTAATATGACAGGTCGAATTAGTTATGATCGATCGTAATACCCTATGACCGATCGTAACCGCTTATGACCGATCGTAATAGCTCATAGAAAGTAAGCCTTTCTACGTTGGTTCCTGACTAACCGACGTAGAAGTCTTACTTTCTACGTCTGTTATCGTTGTTAACCGACATAGAAAGTAATATGACAGTCGGAATCGCTTATGACCGATTATGATAGCTCATAGAAAGTAAGTCTTTCTACGTCGGTTCCCTGACTAACCGACGTAGAAAGTCTTACTTTCTATGACCCCCGTATCTATGTCGCCGCTTTAACCGACGTAGAAAGCCCATTTTAACCGACGTAAAAAGTCTTTTCTGCAGTAGTGCTTGTCTTTGATTTAATTATTGTGCGGATACCCATGGCATAAGCTGCATATTCTGCGATGTTGTTGGTGCCATTGAAACACAACCTGCTTGTTATTGGTATGTATTGATTTTCTGGAGATATGAGCACTACGCCAATTATGTGTCCTAGTGCATTTGAGGCCCCATCAAAGAATAATGTCCATTTTTTGTTGTTCAAATTATCTTTATCCTTGCCAAAAAGAGCCAAAATGTCTTCATAAGGAAACTCAGGTTGCATAGGTTGGTAATCTGGAATAGGTTGATGAGCCAGATATTTTGCTAAAGCACTACCTTTGATGGCTTTTTGAGTTACAGACACAATATCGTATTCTGATAGTAACATTTGCCATCGAGTTATCCTACCACTTAGGGTTGGTTTTTTCAAAGATGTATTTGATAAGGTCCATTTTGGATACCAACCACGTGGTATGACTTAACATGTATTGCCTTAAACGGTGAGTTATCCATGCCAGTGCATGACAAGTTCGTTATAGTAAGGAGTATCTTTTCTCACAACTTGTGAATTTCTTGCTTAAATAATAAATAACATACTCCTTTTTTCTTGTTTCATTGTGTTGGCCTAAAACACAACTCATTGACTCGTCTAATACTGTTAAGTAAAGTCTGAGAGGCTTATTTAACACACATTCGGACTTTCCCATCTTTCTTTGGGATAGGGACAATGTTAGCAACCCATTGAGGATACTTCGCTATCGCTAGAAAACCAGCGTCAAACTGCTTCTTCACTTCATCTTTGATTTTTAGGGTCATTTCTAATTTCATTCTTCTCAATTTTTGTCTAACTGGGGTACACTCGACTTTTAATGGGAGCTTATGATGTACTATCTTGGGGTCTAGCCCTGACATATCCTTATAAGACCAAGCAAAGACATTTGTGAACTCCTGTAGCAAGTTAATTAGCTTTGTACGTATTTCAGTTGTTATATTAATGTCGATCTTAATTTATTTTTGTTCTTCCTTATTTTCCAATTTGATTATATCTGTTACTTCTTGATGTGGTTTTATCTCTTTAGTTTCGTGTTCCATTAATCTCAGTAGTTCAGGGGAAGACTCCCAATCCTCATCATTGTCTTCTGTATTGGCTATGGGATGAACGAGATTATGGTAAGTAATATGAGCCTCGAGTTCATTACCATATCGATTGTTAAGCTTCACACTTTGAGGACATGACCGTACAAAACTTAGACTTTCTTTGTTAGATTTTTTTCTTCAACTGCTGCCACTTGGTCGAATTTAATCCACCCTGCACTTCAGAAACTATGCTTGATGTCATAAATAGGAATTCTTCCTATCCTCATATTCTTCTCTCTTATTTTCTCCATAATTCTTCGTTTATCTTCTTTAGTCCATTCATACCCTAAGACATATCTGCCTTTGTTTTCTAAAATTTCTAACAAAGATGCAAAACCTTCACCATTCTTTCCCAAGCCATAGCCAAGCTTGTATCCTCCCTTCAACATGACTTTAGCCATCATTAGGGATGCATATGATACATGAGGCTTTCTAGGGATTGGTTCAACATAGGTGGTGCTGACAATTTTTTAGGCTTGGAAAGAGGTCTCCAATGCTTCTTCAGTGACGTCAATGTATCGGGAGGATGATGGACCACACTTATTATCAATCTTCTTCCCTTGAGACGATATCCCCCATTACAAATTTTTGTTTTTGATGCAAAGTGGAAGGTATCACCTCAACTTAATGGATCCAAGGGCGACCCAGTAGAAAACTATAAGCAGGAAAAATGTCCATAACTTGAAACAATATATGGAAAACACAGGGGCTTATTTGAATAGGCAACTCAATTTCTCTCACCACCTCTCTTTGGCTGCCATCAAATGCCCTCATGACCGTAGAACTTGGTCGCATGTATGTTCCATCACAAGGTAATTTCTCTAAGATACTTTTTGGGCATGACGTTCAGTGAGGAGCCATTATCTACGAGCACTCGTGCAATAGAGTGATCACAACATTTAACAGAGATGTGAAGAGCTTTGTTATGTCCCCTTCCTTCACTCAGGATTTCATCGTTTGTGAATGTAAGATAATTGTTGGCAGTAATATTACTAACAATTCCTTCAAACTTATCAAGGGATATGTCTTGTTCTACATGAGCTTCACTCAAGATTTTCATTAACAATTTCCTATGAGCTGTAGAATTCATTAACAGTTTCAATAGTGAGATTCTTGTTGGCATGTGATTCAGTTGATCGACCACCTCATACTCACTTTGCTGGATAAACTTAAGAAACTTACATGCTTCTTCGCCAGATATCTCTTTTCTTGTTGTTGGTTCCACCTCCTTCTTAGGGTATTCGTCAATTTGCGCAGTTTTTCCTTTCAAAAACTTCTTTGCCTCTTCAGTCATATGTTACTCATCTCTTCCCCTTTCTTTATAGGTTGTCTCATTCAATCATTTCAGTGGTATAGAGAAACGACCACTTCTGGCCACATTACCTATGCTAGAGATGTTGTTGTTGGTCGAGGTGTCAACATTAGAGACTTTATTCATTGTTTCCTCATGTTGCCCATTATTCATTTCTTGTGCACTGTATCTCCATGGAACTGCTTTGTTATCCTTGTAAGGAAATGGGGAGGGTGCTTGTGTCACAAGGGGTTGTCGTCCTTGGGATATAAATGGAGATTTGTTCGTATTGAAGTGAATCACTAGTTGTGCAGATACAACAAGTTTTGTTTCTCCAATGAACTCACCATCTGTCACAACCAAGATCACAACAAGATGACATACAAATATAATGTTTAGAAAAATGAAGTTGCCACTATAGTTTATTAAGTAAAACCATAAAAAAAAATTAAAAAATCATCTTTGAGACCAAATTTGGATTCAAGAATCGATTATGCATATGAAAGGTATTAGCACCCTAGCAAAATGTCATTTTTTATAAATATTTATTTTCCCCAAAGTATTATAAAACGATTACTTTAGTTAAATGTGTGAAATAAATGTCATTTTCTAAAATGTTTATTTTTCCCTAAGTATTAAATACGGAAAAAGAAATAAATATTAAAAATATTTTATTTGGGTCCGACAAAATATTTCAACTGGTGATGGAAAATCGGTGTTACGTAGTTCTTTCTTAAAAAGGTTTGTGTGTTGAAGTTAATGTTTTAAATTTTGATATTTTCAAAATTTTATTTATATACTTTACTTTTCTAAAATGTTAGAAAATGTAAGATGGTGCAGTTAACCGTACCAAATACATTTACAATAAAGATAAAAAATATCAAATAGATATAAGATCATACGGATAACCATACATAAATCTTGTAGTGATTTTATTTTAATTAATTTATGTAGGTGATTATAAGAGTGCTTCACAAATTTAAAATTTGCAAATTTATATGACTACTAAATAATAATTACATTAAATAATTAGTCTAAAAAAATAAAAATGAAAAACCAAAAAGTAAAAATTAAAATAAAATGAGAATTAACCATTATGGTAATATGTTCAGTAATTACAGTAGCATAGTATAACATATTATAATTTATTACTTTTTTTTTCAACCAAATAACACGAAAATTTCGTATTTAATTTTTAATTGGAAATGAGAATTACTTTTTATTTTTATTTTTAACTGAAGGAATAATTAAACTTATATTTGAAAAACTGAAAAATCAATTTTAAATTTATTAATTTTAAAAAATAAATTTAAGTTTAATACAAATTTTAATTTGAAAGTGAAAGAACATGTTTTTATCATGATTTACGGTGAAAGAATCTTATTATATTCTATTGTTTGAAAATAGTCATAGATTTATCTTTTATTTTATCCTTATTTTTGTAATAATTTATATTAAATATTAAATTACAAGAAAATAAATAATAAAAATAAACAGATACACAAAAAGGGAAAAAGTTATTTAAGAATAATAGTCATAGATTTATCTTTTACTTTATCCTTAATTTTGTAATAATTTATACTAAATATTAAATTATAAAAAAATAATAATAAAAATAAACAGATACACAAAAAGGAAAAAAAATTATTTAAGAATAATAATAATAGATTTATCTTTTATGTTGTAATAATTTATATTAAAAATTAAATTACAATAAAATAAATAATAAAAATAAATAGATACAAAAAAGGAAAAAGTTATTAAAGAATAATATTAGTAGATTTATCTTAATTTTGTAATAATTTATATTAAACATTAAATTAATAAAATAAATAATAAAAATAAATAGATACACAAAAAAAGGAAAAAACTTGTCACGCAATTTTTGCACTATCTAAAATAAACATACATGATAGACGCTTGATAAATATATTAGAACACATAAGACATACGTCATGTACATGATTAACGTGTTAAACACTCGCGAATCCTTACAATTTGATATTTTTAATTTAAATTTTAAAACGTTTTGTAATAAAAAATAAAAATAAAAAAGTCATTCTTATATTTTTGAAGCGTTTTTAATAGCAGTCATACAAAATTACGTAAAAGTATACTGTCAAATCATAAAAATAAGGTCCACACCCCAATTAGGGCTAAATGAAGAAAAGGGTGTAAATGTTAAGAGATAAAAAAATTTATATCTACAGAAATAATATTAATGATGTAAAATCTAAACTATAAAGTGTTAATAATTTAATAATAAATATGTCAAAATAAATAGACAATAAAATTAAAGAGAAGACGAACGAGAATATCTTAAGATTCTTTTTCTTATAGAATATTTGTTCTTTTCTCTCTTTTTTTTCTTTTTTTTTAGTCCTTTTTATAGAAGGAAAAATAGGAGGAAAAAAATAATATTTTGGAAAAAAAGAAGAAGGAAAGAATGAGTAGTGGGTTATAAAGCTATTCAAGGGATAGGAGGGGAATATGGGATGTAATTGTTGAGGGAAAGAAGAGTGTGAGGTTGAGTAAAAAATTTTAATATTATTTTTTTTATTAATTTTTATTATATTAATTTATATGACTTTTTATTTTGTTTTATTTTAATTATTCGAACGAAATTGAGTGTTGCCATATAGTTTTGTCTAAATTTTATTTAATCTCATGTATTATTTTGCATCTAAATACTTTCTTGTCTTTAATACACATTATTTAAATTCGATTGTCTTCAAATCTTTGTGTTTCTTGTCTCATGACTTAGTATCATCTTTTGGTGTATCTGAATAATTTGTTTTTCTCTCGTAATTATTACAATAAAGAACTTATGATGTTCATTATTTTTTGGCTTATTTTGGAAATGAAGTTTATTTTTAAAATTTTCTTCCCTCATTGTCCACTTGTCATCTCACATTTTGCAAATCTAAAATCATCAATACCTTCATTTTCAATTTTAACATAAAAAATTATCATAGTAAAAATAGTCTTATTACTAGTGGGTTGGACAAAAGAAACTTTATTTTACAGATTTTAACATCTCTTGTCACAAAATATTTGTTTCCATGACATATAACCTTCATCCTTTATTCCTATAAGCATAACCTATAAACACACATTTTTTACTATAACTAACAAACTTATCTCTTTTTTCACCTTGATTATAAGCATGACATAAAGAACCAAATACCCTTATGTGGCTATTTGAACATGGTTACCAATATAACATTTCATAAAGAGTTTTCATCTAATAAAAGTGTTAAAGATCTATTTATTAGATATCCAATAGTTAAGATACATTCATCCCAAAAAGAGAAATGAATATCACTTTGAAATTTTAAGGCATGTGATACATTAAAGATGTGTTTGTTTTTTTTCTTTTAACTTAGATAATTTTGTTGAGGTGTCCCTTTACGAGATGTTTAAAAAATATTGTCAAGTTCAGTAAACTTTGTTAACATACTTATATCGAATTATCTTAATTTATTTTCCAAAACAACATGTGAAAAATCATCAACTATAGTAAAACAATAAAATGCGTTGCAAGATGATAAAGTTCGATAAGATCTTTACAAATTACAATGAATCAATTCAAAACTGCTAGTAAATGTATTATTACTCAAAAAAAATTTATCTTTCCTCTATTTTGCCCTTTGACATATATCATAAGTTTTATTTGTAAGTTCATTATTTTTGTTAGAAACATTTGAGACTAGTTGCATAATCTTCAAAGAAGGATGTCTCACCATTAATAGGTTAGTAAATAAAGTTTAAAGGTCTTGTCATGTCAAAACCTTTTGAAATAGTAAAGTTCATCCAGTCATATCAACTTTTTACACTACAAAAAATATTGAAATCACTGACGGTCAAAATTCGTCAGTAATAACAAAAATCTATCGGTAAATAGATATTACCGAGAGAATTTCGACGGCCAAAAATCCGTCGAAAATTGGGTTGTCGGTAAATATTACCAACAGATTTAAATAGTCTATCGGTAATTACTGACGGATAAATCAATCGATAAATATTTGACGAAATTACCAACGGACAAGAATCCATCGATAATATTTTTATTATTTATTGCATTTTTTACTTGTTTTATAACACCCAAGTACCTTAGAGTTAGAGGCTAATACTCCAATCACTAAGCTACTAGAATTTTTTGATAATAATTTACAAATAAATTATGTTTATATATTTATATATTATATATTTATATATTTATTTTTTAAATTATTTAATTTAATAAATTAATCTAATTATACTTAAATTAAATTATTAAATACAAAAATTTTAATTTTTTAATTAGGTGAATAATTAATTTATTAGAATATATTAAGTAATTATTATATAATTTTACCGACGGATATATCCGTCGATAATTAATTGTTAATTTATCGATGGATTTATCGACGGAAATATTCGTTAATTGTTAATTTACCGACGGATATATCCGTCGGTAATTAATTGTTAATTTACCAATGAATATATTCATCGGTAATTAATTGTTAATTTATTAATGAATTTACCGATGGATATATCCGTCGGTAACTAATTATTATTTTACCGACAGATATATCCGTCGGTAAAACCAAATGCTATATCCGTCAGTAATGACTCATTTTTCGACGGCCACAAATTCGTTGATAAAAATCCGTCAGAAATTTACGATTTTCTTGTAGTGTTAGGAGTGAGATCCACACACGTAGATTTAGTAAATTAAGCCATAAAATTGTATTCATTCAACAATTGAGACACATATATTACACTATATTAAATACATTGTAATATAAGTTCATATAATCACATTGTTAATTTTTATTAATTTTTATCCCTTCAAGGGATATAATTCATATTTTTTTATCTGTCATCTGTCTTGGTCATAGAGAGCTTTGTTACGAATATGATACCATAATTATTTTGAGAAAAATATTTTTTGTTATATTTCTTTTAGGCCAAATGCTTAAATATACATAATATTATATTAGATAGTTATCAAATTAGAATTCACAAATCTCTTACATATCCTCCTAATTTATTCAAAAAAATCAAAATCTTAAATAATTAAAACTAATCATAATTAATTGATAAAGATTATATGATGAAATAATTTGTCTCGAAATAAAATGGTTATGAAAATATATATTGAATAAAGACGTATTATAGTATATAAATAAATATAATTTTTTTTTATTGAGCTGATTTTGTAAGATTGAGTTAAATATGTTTTTATTTTTAATATATTAAAACCATAATGATGGTGAAATTATTAAAAAAAATCTCTTAAGTTAATAAAAAATATGAAATCTTATATTAAATATACATAATTTTATAATATATAAATAGATTTTCTCTCGCACATTTGCGAGAGAGGTTTGTAACATAAGGAAAATAAAGCTTAGTTCTGAATAAAAGATGAATGTGCTTACTTTTACTACTCACGCAATTACTCAATAATATTATTATCAGAGACTGATAAAATCCAATAATATTGTCCTCTCCAGGCGAAAAACGAATATAACTTATTATTATAATTATTATGATTTGATTGTAATAAATTATGTCACTGCAGATAATATTTGTTCTCAAAATTATAATTAACTCTATGATTATTTATATAATATATAATATTGCCCATTCATTTTTAATTTTTTAAAATAAATATATAACTTTTTTACTCTTTTATTTTATATTTTTACTTAAATAAAGTTTAATGTCATAGAAATGTCGATCAATCTCCAGCGTTAGGTATAATAAAGTAAACTAATACTAGGCGATTATGTATCAATAAAAACAAACAATCAAGGTTGTAACATTATTTTCTTTCTATCTTCTTTGATAATAGGCGAATTGGTTGATTTTATGAGGTGTGACTCGTAAATTTAGTGATAACTTGATAAGTGGATTAGGAAATTAGAGAAAATCAATAGGACAATTTTCTAGTCTAGAATTATTAGTGAAGTAAACTTTTAGTGGATGAGCATAAAATAAATAATGGTGGCCATGTTTAACGTCTTGACATGAGAGAATTTCAGGAGGAGATTCTTCAAAAATTTTTTTTTTTTTTTACAGTGTCAAGTATGTAAAAGAGGAAAATTTCTCCAAGGTGTAGAAGTTTGAAGAAAAAATTAGACGTAGGTTGAAGAAGACGGTAGTTGTTATGTCTATCTAGAAGTTTCTATTTATAATAAAAAAGACCATTATTAAAAGGTTATGAAGAAGTCTCATTTTCAATAAGTGAAAAATAAGTTTTGATTAATAAAAAATATTTTATAAATTATATAGATATGATTTAAACGCACAATAAGAAGTATTTTATAAATTTTAAAACCACGATAATAAACTTAAAAAAAAATGAACTACTCACGTATCATATTTTATTTGTCGATTTGACACTATTAATTATTAATGAATTATTTTTGTCTGAAGGGAAGAAAAATTACTATTTGATATTAAAAAAATATTTGGCATTATTTTCTAACAATACGAGAGATATTTAGCGAAAAACGCTTATTTTAAATTAGATCACAAATTGAATATTTACATTTCTTAAAAATATAAACTGTTATAAAAGTCGATTTATTTAATGTTATCTAAAAAATAAATATAATACTTCCACGAGACAATCATATTAAGAACAGGGGATAAATTTATGGTAATAATACATTTAGACTCTTCACCTTACAAATACGTAACTTCTGTTCAGTTTCCATTAATTGAAAAGCATGCTAATTTAATTGAATGAAATTCAATAAAAGTTTGTGTTATGATGTTGTTTAATTTAAGTGAATGTGAAGCAGCTTGAATAGAGGTTCCTGGTGAATAATTAAGATCCTTTAATACTAGAGCCCTACAATTTTAAAAGTTGGGTGAAGGCAATTAGTGTGGCTAATCTTTCCCTTGCCCTTGGGCACGTTTCGAATTCGAAGACACGATAATTAAGAAAATGCATACACATTATTACACTGCTGCAATTCCACTAAGACCACTCGTGTGTTTCCCCATGAATAGAAGGTAAACAAAACTCTTCAAATGAGGATAGAAAAGGTAAAAAAAAAAAAAAAAAACTCTTCAAATTCATTATTGAAATTGAACCCTAGAAACATGAAGAGCAAGTATGGGATTGATATATGCCCCCACACCCAGAGGCAGAGCCAGTTAAAGCAAAAGCAAATTTATTGAATAGGTAGGCTTTGGTGGCAGATTAGGGAAATCGAAGTACGCATAGATTTAACTACGACACACTTAAATGTGTTGGATACCGTTCACGACGCATGGTGTGAGACTTAGACTTGTGGGTCCGGCCACCGGAGTAGGACATCCCAACCCTCGTTCAGGTTATTCACTCACTCACTCACTCTCAACTTCTCAAACACTTGCCTCTCCTTTTTACTCTTTTTTTTTTTTTTTTATCATCATAGTTCCTTCGTATAAGTAAACCCTAATGTGCCATTTTCTCGTTTCTGTTGAATTACTTACATATTTCAGAATTTTGAAATTATTGTGTTGTCAGGAGGACTGAAATGGATATTATGTGGTGGAGAGGATGCAAAGAAGGAGCATGTTGTTTCAAGGAACAAGAAAATAAAAAGTATAATTTCTCTGTTTTCTAGGCAAGTTTACCCTCAACCGATCGTTTTGTCTGTGAATTTCGTGAAGGGGGTGTAATATCTAGGCATGTTGACAAATAAGAAGTGCTAAATCTAGCAGTGCTACACCTACTCTACACTCTAGACTTTGGACAAATAGTTCCACTACCTAAACTTGGACCACCTTGAGTTTCACACATTTAAAACCATGATGCTACTTTTTATATGTGAAAATAAAACAAAAAGGTTCCTTATTTTTTGGGGTGAGGGAGAAAGAGGGAAGAATCATCTTCGTTGCTGAAACCATGCTCTCCCAAACAAAAAGGATAAGGACAGAACAGATTTGAAATTACGCACGAGGCCAATGTTTCATTTTCAACTTCATACCTGCACTACACTACGCATCTCTAGGTCGACAAAAACAGTATCTCCATGTCGTGTTTCCTTCCATCTCCATCCACTTGATGCTCGTCTGCTTTTCCTTTCATTCCACATAAATTTTCTAGATACTTTAGTACCACATATTTAATCAAATATGTTCTTTTCCATGATTTATTTAAATCAACATAATATATATAATTTCAAATATTATCGAGTGAGTTATGTGTATTAATTTATGTTTATTATAAAAAAATTCTCTTTTTTCGTATCTTTCCGTAATGATTTTGTTTTAAAATTATTTTTTTAATTGATAAAAGATGGTATATATAAATTATTTTTTACTTTAATTAAGTGATATCTAATTAAAACTATTATATAAATTTTTTGACTTATATCATTCTCTTTCCCAAAATTTAAAATTAATAAAATAATTATTTTAATTTGATTAGTGGTTCTATTGGATTCTGATAATACATAGTTAATTATTCTAATATATATATATATATATATATATATATATATATAACACTTGTATTATCCGGCGGAAAGATTAAAAAAAATATTTATCCTTTTCATTTACCTTTTATTAAGGTTTCCATCATGGGCCAATTATTACCCAAATTCTTCATCCTGTTACAATGATTTAGAGTCACGAAGCCCAATGAAGTTATTAGGCCTTGCTTTTTGTATTGATATTGGGCTCCAACTGTTTGGCCCTTTTGTTCTTACTTCAGTTGACTCTCAAAAAATTACACTCACCATCTCTCGTTACCGCGCTCTTGAAAGCTTGGACGGAGAAACGGGACTTTTTTGCGGTTTGAGGGAATTCAGCGAGAGTGGGTGTTTGTCATTGTTGCTAATTTGTACTCTTTTTTTTTTTCTTATTATTTGCGACTTTGAAAATTTAAAGTTAACGTTCCGATGATGTCGTGGAACAGGTTGCGGCTTGGAATGGACGGCGACGGCGAGGAGTTGACGGCGCAGGAGACTGCTTTGTATGACCGTCAAATTAGGGTTTGGGGAGCTGACGCTCAAAGAAGGTTTTTCTTCTTCTTTTACTTCTGAAATTCTGAATGTTTTTATGTTCGATTGATTGTTACTTTACTGTTATAAACCTAATTAAATTCTGCTAATATAATTTTTTCGTTGTGTCTAATTTAATAATAATTTAAATAAATAGTCTATGTAGCATATTAATCATAGTTTTTGTTTGCTTTTTTTGTTTTATCTATAGATTAAGCAAAGCCCATGTCTTAGTCTATGGAATGAAAGGAACCGTAGCTGAGGTAAACCTACAACTACATCTTTTTGGTTTCACGAATTTGACTTTTGACACGCAACATGAAATGAGTAAAATAGTTTGTTGTGTTTGGTTATTGGCTGTTCTTGTTGCATTTCTCATGTTTTTGATATATCGTATGGAATTTGAGTTTCCTTTTGTTGGTTAGTTTTGCAAGAATATTGTTCTGGCTGGAGTAGGTAGTCTGACTTTAGTAGATGATCGGGTTGCCACTGAGGAGGCACTTTCCTCTAACTTTCTCATCCCTCCTGTTGAGAGTGTGTACGGTGGAAAGACCCTTGCGGAGCTTTGTTGTAATTCTCTTAAAGATTTCAATCCTATGGTTCGTGTTTCCGTTGAGAAAGGTTTTTATTTCAATCCTGTTCCCTTGTCATTTTGGTTCTGCTTCTGCATTGCTTTCTTATGGTTTTTAACATTATGTCTTGTGGTTCTACTTTTCTGTTGTTCATCTTTGCTTCAGGTGATTTGTCCAACTTTGGTGTTGAATTTTTCAGCAAGTTCGATGTTGTTGTTGTCAGTTGTTGCTCACTTTCAGCCAAAGTAATTTGGAATATACTTTTTGAAACACACACACACTCACACACACTTCTGAGGATCTACATAGTTACTCTAAACTAAATTACTTTACACCTTTCGCATACTATAAAGTTTCTTTTAACATTCTTATTTGCCTTTATTCTTTTGCTGTAGAAACTGGCTAATGACAAATGCAGAAAACTATCAAAACGTGTAGCATTTTATGCTGTCGAGTGTAGGGATTCTTGTGGTGAAGTTTTTGTTGATTTGCAGGATTACAAATATTCAAAGGTATGCATCACTTTTGTGGAACTAATTTCTCATAATGATTTGATTTTGCGGCTTGATATTGTCTTCTTTGATTGTTGTATCAATATGTATGCTTTTTTACGAAGATGGTTTGTAAGCAACTCTATTTCTTTTCTATTTATGATGAGAATGAATATACAATCTATTGTAATCATCTTTTTTGTATGATTTTTTTCTTGCTATTAGTGGTAGATGCCGCAAGGGAAGAATATGTACAAAATCATAAAAACAGAGAAATTAGTGAACGTCTAAGTTGGGATATATGAAACTTAAATGCCTATATTCTTATTTTAAAAAACATTTGAGTTTTATCCTTGTGCTCATGATTATTAAACTTGTGTGTTAACTTGTAGACTTGGACGACTTTGTGTCCATGATGATGTAATTGTTTAACTTGATTGCAAACTCGTGTTGAGCAAGCTTGGTTGAACTTGCACAAATTTGTGAGCTTGTAGTGGTCAAAACTTTTTGCTCAAAAAGACGGTTTTTGTGTTGCTTGAGAGCATAGTTATCAATCAGGTGCAATTGCCTTGTGATTGCATGGTAGCAGAGAAGAATATCCATCCCCACTTTTGACGATGGCATTGTGGAGCGGCTAGGTTTAGCTCTGTCATGCCATCGTTTGTGTTGCCAGCAGTCTTTTTGTCGTCTACACTTATGAAAAAATGGGCGGGAGTTGGGGGGAAGATTGATGTGATGGAAGAAATGAATTAAGTTGTTTTTATAGGTTTTTTGGGTCTATGGGGTTATTTACCTTTTGCTTTATTTTAATCACTTTATATCATTATAAGACTATAGGATACACTGTTACTTAAAAGTATTTAAAAATAATAATACATAATTATATATTCAAAATGTTATAGTACATGGATATATATATATATATATATATATATATATATATATATATATATATATATATATATATATATATATATATATAAATGGTACAATAAAATAATAAAATAAATAAAGCATAATGAATGGTACAATAAATTAAAAATAATTGTAATAAAAATTATAATAAACTAAGTAGTAATAGTAGTATCTTGCAATGTTTTCAGAGTATATTTCAGTATATTATAGGTATTTAATATTGAGTAAACTTTCACAAGTTTGCGAGTCAACTTTATGGACTGCTAAAGCAATGGTAATAAGCATTGCGATCCTGTGTTTCTAAAGCAACTGCTATTTTCTTTTAATGCTCTATTCTAATTTGGCAGAAAAAACAGGAAGAAACTATTGGATGCGATCTGAAGTATCCTTCTTTTGAGGTATGTCAGTCCTAATTCATTATAGTTGCAATATCTTGTATTTTTTTATGTTAAAATAAATCCTTTAATATTTCTAAAATAAGTCTTGATGTATTGCAACCTGGAAGACCTTCAATTTGTTTCAAGTGATCTGTTTTCATTTGTCAAAAGAAAAGACTAAAATTGATTTTGACCTGAAGGATATTTGATACTGATAACCATAATTGCCAGCGTAGCTATTAATTTTCATTAGATGCCCATGGGGTGACTTCAAATGCATACTTCTAAATTTAGTGATCCTTATATAATAATCAAGAAGTCAGAATGATTTTTGGTCTGCCATGTTGCATGTATGATTTCTTTGCTGGATTCAAATTTCAGAGTTGTATCGATTCTGTAAAAACAAAATTGGGCCTTTAACAAGTTCGAACGGTAGATCTAGAATTTGGGTTATTGTGCAAGTCATTCTGTCTTAGTTGTCGGGCTTTTGATGTTTCCTAGAGTGGCCATGATTTCGTAGTTGAGAGCTATTTTCGTGAGTATGCCTTTTTCTTTTTTGTTGCAGGATGCATTGTCAGTACCTTGGAGGACACTACATAAGAGAATGTCAAAGCTGTACTTTGCAATGAGAGGTATGATAAACTGTAGTGCTCTTTTTTGTAAGTAAAATACATAGAATAAAACTAAATTATTCTTAATCAATTGGAAAGTGAAATTTTTTCTTGGCTGTCTTATTGTTGGGGGAGACTGTTTAACAAAGAAGTTATGAAGAAGGCTTGCATTTTGTGTGTGAAAGATGTTTGTTTCCATCCTGAAGTAAACAATTAATACTTCACTTTTTTTGTTCTCTTCCTTTGTACTTTATGATCAGTCTGTAAACAATGAACATTTAGTTATCTGTTGCAGTAATAGAAAAGTTTGAAGAGGCTGAAGGACGTAGTGCTGGGGAGGTTTCGATTGCAGATCTTTCTGCTGTTCTCAAGCTGAAAAAGGACCTTTGTATTGCACAAGTATGCTTCCTTATTTTTGTTTATAGGTTTTACAAAAGCCCTTTATTTATCATATTTTATGTTTGTGTTGACAGTCTCTCAGTGAATCTCATGTGCCTGACGCTCTTTTAGAAAGATTGGTGACAAATGCAACAGAATTTCCTCCTGTTTGTGCTGTTATAGGTGGAATCCTTGGACAGGTATTTTTGTAGTTATCATGATGTTTTAAAAATGCATGTGTTATTTAACTAACTAAGATGACTTTTAACATCACAGGAGGTTATCAAAGCAATTTCTGGGAAAGGAGACCCCCTAAAGAATTTCTTCTTTTTTGATGCTTTTGATGGGAAGGGCATTATAGAAGACATATCTGCGAAGTGATTAATGTGGGAATTTTTAGTCTAAATTAGGTATTTAACATTTTCCCAAAACAGCTCAGAAAACTAGTAGAATTCAAACATCTCTACGAAGAAACTGACCCTTCTTCCTGATTAACTGCTCATATAGTTGCTTAGTGGGCAATTATTTATCTAGACTAATCACTGTTTTGGGTTAGGATCTTCTCCTTATTACGACACTAGTCACTCAAGTGTATGTAATCGAATGGCCTTGAAAGTGGGTAACATGTGGTTATTTGCTTTTCTTAATGATGCATTTTATTATTATAATTGACGATATTATCACAGCGACTTGGCGCTCGAATTTGAAAATTTACATTGAACACGCCTTTTACAAATATTACAAAAGTATTAACTATATTTAGAAAATTTATTATTTTTTAACTGAATATAAAATAATTGATTACTTTTCTAGCCACTGCATATTATTAAGTTAAATCTTTGGTTAAAGGGATGGAAAAACGCAAATTCAGATAACGTTACTGTGATAACATGGATTGAATAGCAGCCACAAAATTCAATTTTTTGCATTATGATTCGTTGGCTGTAGTAATTGTTACTTGCACATCTTTTTGCATTTGAATCCTCTGCAGCCGAACCCAAGGTTTTTTGTTTCTTTCACGACTACTTTAGTCATAATTACACACAGGCTTCATAAAATAAATTATTTCAAATATCAAGCTTTTGTGATTCAAAAAAACACCCGGTGGATCTTTCGTTCTCTTTTTATTTGTCATTTTCTAAAAGAGAAATATTAATCATATGGATTCTTCTGTCCTATATAACTTTGTACATGTGGAAAGGAGAAGCTACATCTTATCACTTTGTGCATTTGGAAAGGCTAAGCTACATCTTATCACTTTGTACAGCTAAATGATAGAAAAAACATTAGTTGTCAGAAAACTTTAGCTGTGTTTTCAGAAATTAATTTGAACTTTTTTTAGTTGAGCAGTTCATGTATTAATAATATTATACATTTTCAACGATTTATCATAAAATAAAACACAAACAGATTACGAATTTAAGTTTTATTTGGAATTAATGGATTTTTTTAATGGATTATTTTTTAACTTATTTTAATGTAATTATTAAAAATTATTATTTACAATTATCTAAATTTGGTAAAAGATAAAGTAGAATCTAATATGAGCTATCCATTTTCATTATGTGTGGTAACTGGAGCGAACAATGCAAAGGACCAGATTTTGTTTACAATAACCAGATGAAAAAATACAATCGGAAAACAACTATGTTAATTAATATAATAATGATAATATAATACAACCTATAGACAAATTATGTTATATTAATATAATAACGATAATAATATAATACAAATTATGTTATTTTAATGTAATAACGATAATAATATATAATAAGTAAATTTATATTTATAAGGTTGGATTACGCTAATTATGTTGATTTATGTTTTTTTATTATGAAACCAATTCATTTAATAATGGGTTCAGTTAAATTGGACTAGTGGATATTAATTTTATTTTTTTTACAATCTTAAAATATATTATTTTTTATTAATTGATTTTGATACAACTTTTGAATGTTTATATAACACATTTTTATTAAATAACACTATTGAACAAGTCTTAAATTATAAATAATGATGCATAGATAAAAAGATTTAAGACATTTTTATATTTTACACTAATGACATAAAAATATTAATGATTTTTTTAATTATAACAATACAAAAATACACTAATTTATATTAAAAAAATAAACGATTGTCTTTAATAATATTTTAGTTACTTATTTTTTAAAACAAATGAATAGATAATATATAGTAATTTCAGTTTTAGTCATGAACATTTTAATTTCATATAAGATAACATTACTAGAATCAAACACCGCTTGATTAAGAAAATTAATACATGTTTTAATAATATAATATTTATCAAACAAATGGTGAATTAGGTTTTTGAACAAAGATTAATAATCAAATTTGGTAGATATTTTGCATAAGTAGTATTGTTATGAAAAAAGCATAATTTTTTAATTTTTTTAGATGTACATCTTCATATATTGTTGAGATAAATTCCAAAGGTTTTACAATTAGAGTTGGAATTACTCTAAGGAAGGTAGATTTCAGAAGAAGAAAAAGTATACATGGAGAAAAGAGATAGAAAGAATCAATTAAAATAGAGACGGAAAATAATTAAAATGTTGTTTATATTCACCACAATAACCAGGTCTTATTAGGTTATATTATATTCTAACATTTTTTTGAAGATACATTAATCATAGAGTGAGGGTGTATATGTGATGGTTTCTCAACAATATCTGCTCGAAACTTTCGGTTGTTGAGTTCTCCACAGGATGAGAATGTAACCCTTCATACGTTGTTACCACTATCTCTTCGTCTTTTGCATGCCGTTGGATTTGTTTTTTCACATTGCAACCTCGATAAGAACATCTGTAATAACTTCTGAAACCACCCAAATAAAATTAGAACTATAATTAACAAAAAATGTATTTGCAAAATAACGACAAACAGAGAAGAATTGAGAAGGGAAGGAAGTGAAACCTTGGAAATTTATTGTTTTTGACGGACTTTTCCCCGTACTTTCTCCACCGGTATCCATCGTCCAGTATATCAACCTCACTCCTTGTTTCAAATGCATATCTCCGCCGCTTTATTTCTTTCCCACCTTTCTCGCTTCCATTTTCAGTTCTTAAAACACCACCACCACCACCTTTCTTCACACCATGAACATCAGAGTTAAAATCAGAAGCAGAAGCAGATGATGATGATGAGGAGGATGAGTATATAGTGGACAACACTTGATGTTTCTCCATGGATGAAGAAGTAAGAGAAGAGGGTTATAGCAGAAGGCACGCGTTGTGTGTGTATATATATATAGTGTATAGATATATGCATTGGAAGAAGGTGAAACATGAGGGCGGCAAGCAAGTCAACCGGTCAACCTGTCAAATAAGTGAATATTTTTTGTTTCAAATGAAGTTGTTTGTGTTCTCTAGAATCAGAAATATCAAAATCTAATAATTTTGATTAAATTATGAGAATGTTTTGCTACGCACCAATCTGATATAATACGAGAGTTGATGTGTTTGCATGGCAACATGTGTTCGGTCATGCCGTGAATAACATGGACTCTAATCAACTAATGCGCAGACATTATAAATTCCAATTTTCTATGTCAAAACTACCAAACTTCACTTTCTTCAATACAAACCCACTGCTTCAATTATTTTCAATTTTATTTAACCCAAAAGAAGCTGTGATAATTTAATAATAATAATAATAGTAATAACTTATCTTAATTGTTAATTTTTCTTTTAATTATATATAAAGCTCATTAATTTTTATGAGAATTGTCAGTATTTTTTGTTGATTGTGAAAAAAAATGTTGGAGTGAAAGTGCTCGGTTGTTTCTGAGCAAGTTACATGTACTTGTTGTGCACGTTGTTTTACATTTAAAATTGAATACTGAATAAAAGACGTGAGCATTTTGTGGAGTGAGGAAACGTGCGATGTTACAGAAGTTGAAATGAGAAACGTTGGATTCGTGAATCATGGCGGCGTGAAGAAGAAATGGGTCATTAATAAAAGACCAAGTGCAGCCATTTTCCATGAAATTGCTTAAGAAAAAGGACATCACCAACTGATAACGACAACTTTAAACAGACTTGCTTTTCTGATATGACGTCAGAAAATCTTCCAATATTTCATTTTTAAAAAAATATACTTATAAATACTTCACTCAAATCATCTTTAATAAAAAAATATAAATGTTATCAATAGTATAATATAATAAAAAGAGAAATAAAACGTGCAGATATTAACATAAAATAATATAATCCTACTTGATTTACATGCACAATTGAAATTAAAATTATCAGATAAATATATATTGATATATCATCACATTCATCACCATTAGATTTAACTAACATAATTTAATTACTTTATATATTGATATATGTTCTCAATTAAAGTTAACTTAACTGACCTTCTCATTATAAATAAAGCTTATGAAAATAATAATTTTGCACCAGTTTAAGCCACTTTAAATGTATGAATATGGACTATCAGTTTACCTTTTAATTAACTTTCCCTTTTACATTTTATCTTTCAGTTATTCAGTACCTAAATACCTAACCTTATTTGAAACGATCCAAGCAAAATAAAATATTTTGAAATCTTTTTTACTTCAAAACAAAACATGTTTATATAATTAAATATATTTAGTTCTTCTAAAATAAAAATATATATTTTATTTGTGACTCCTCTTTTCTCACTCTTACTCCTTCAACCGAACTTTACTAGTTTTCAGCCCTAAAAAATTCTAAATTATTATTTTTAAAGTTTAACGGTTACTTATCAATTGGTGCGTGATCAAGTTAATTTATTTTTAATCCCCAATATTTATTTAGCACCTTTTAGTTAACTTTTAGTTCAATCCCCAATATTTATTTTTAATTGCAAACAGTACTTTTTTATTTAGTATTTGTTGTGAAAACCACATAACTTTTATTTAGTATTTTAATTCTGATTGATTTTTGAACTCAATAAAACTGAATGTCGAACCAACCACATAGTGGTCTTCTATGTGGCATATAAGCAAATAATCAATATCATACTAAATACGAACTAATAGAAAACTGAAAATTAAAGAAAATTTTTCCGAAGACCAGTAGTATATATTTATTTATTTCATAACTAAAACCATCAAATACTTAATTATAAATGTAGTTACCTAAAATAAATATTTTTCTCACTAAATCAACCAATGGTTAAGTTATAGTTGGTTGAAATAGATTTATATGTGAACTTTTGAACAAGTTACCTAATCAAACCCGATATTAGATTGCACTAACATACATTCAGCTGTTTTCCAAATATAAAAACTCTTCATAATGCTAGTAAATAGAGAAGGCTTCCCAAAGTAACCAAGTCTTAGCTAGTGTTTTGGCTTTTACCATGTCTTCAGCACTTTAAAATTGTTACTAACTCCGTTTGGTGTCTATTAAACCATTCTGCGTGTTCTCTGAAGCAGTATCCCGTTTTGTTGGCTCTCATTTTACCATTGCAATGAACTTTCAATTTATGTTTTTCACATTGCACTGACCTTGCTTTCTAAAACAATACAAATAATACAAAATCCACAATGAAACTCTTCAACATATCCACCGCCTTGAAATGCCAACAGAAGTAAGTTCTCCAAATAATGTTGGATTTACATAAGGAAACCCCTCCACGTTGAAACCTACTTCCTCGTGAAGGCTCATATTTCATCTTCTTCAAAGGGATCTCTTTCGGCGTAGTCACCAACCTGAAGGAAATGTACAGATAAATGACATTTTTTGCAAAAATGTTAACTGAAATTGAACATTCTATGCAAATAAGGGTAAAATAATACCATAAGCCTCAACTATATTGCAGCTATTAAGAGTGCTTGCACGATTTCATTGATTCTGTTCCATTATATTTTATAAAAAATACAGCTTGGTCCAGCCCACAAGCAACCAACTTAAATTAACATTAAAACTCTTAAAAAGCGAACAACTTCTAAGATTATGGTGGAGCTTTTGAAAGGACTCCAGACTCCATTGTTAATTGTGCCCGCCAGAGATTGATGTGTGAAGTTTCTCGATGCTTTCTCCTGTATCTCCATCATGAATATGAAGCAATTGGATGCAAGCTAAAAGTGCTTTTGAAACCTTTCTATTGGAAAGATAGAGGTTTTTTTCTGCAGAAAATCTCTCAGAAGTTTTTTTAACTCTAACCAAATTGTGACTCATTTCACTCTCTATTTTCACTGCATTAGGATGCTATTGCTGCAATTAAGCCTCAAATATCATCCTCTAAAGTTTTGTAAAGGTTTCTTTGGCTCTGATTGACGAAAGGCTATTTTGGATATTCTTTCTTGGCTGACTTCTTAATAACATTCAGTTTTTAAATTGGTCATATTGGCAATTTTCACCATCCATTCTTTTTATTGTATCGACAAGATTACCTCCTCTCATGCTCTCACTAGATATGCCCATACATATATTTGTTTACAAATGAAGAGAATATTAGCCATGCAGCATGTTCAAGAAAAAAGAAAAGAACTCGTGACTGGAAGTAAAACACATCTATGCCCAACAAATCTGTCAATCGAAGTAAAATATTGTTAAACAATAATATTATATGTTTTTATGGACACATTGTGCAAGACAAAACATTTTGGATTCTATTTGGTGTAAAACATGTGACCTTTTCAATGGAATTTCCTCACGATGTTGAGGTTTGAGGAGGGATTGGGCAGCTTCTCCCATTGATATTCTCTTTGCTCTTTCTTGTTTGTGTTTTGTTCATTTTGTAATTTTTTTATTTGTGTTAATCGACACTTTTATAAGAATGGGGAACCACCAATCACAATGGAAAATATCCCAATATTTAAAAGATTGCTGCAATGTGTTTTTAAACAAACCTTCACTTTCTCTGGTCTAACTATTCCACCATGAGATGGAGGACATTCAAAGTAGCGTACTCCTTTAACCCTGCAACATAACCCAGGAAAAGTCTGAGAGAAGTGTGGACATAATCTAAAGTTTCTAAATACAAAAGCATATAATACTTAAAAAAACATAAGATGATAGGCTAATTGGGAGTTTACTACACTATATCATAAATAGAAGAAAAAAATTTGCGTACATGCCATCATGTTTGCCCAAGGGTTCATCATACTGTACTCCAACCCAGAAACCAGGACCCAGTGGTTCCGCCTGACCGACAAATTTTACAACACCCCTTTTTGCCCCAGGTTCAACTTCACATCTGGATCCAACCTTAATATTTTTGGAAATCGGAAACAGTATAATAACAAAATAGCAATTAAAAAAGATTCAATGCACAGAAATATAACCATAATAGTCTTAAATTATATAACACGTTTTTATTAAATAATACAATTGAACAAGTCTTACATTATAAATAATGATGCATAGATATAAAGATGTAAGACATTTTTATAGGAAAACTATTTTTGCATTTTTTACACTAAAATAAACAATAATGTGAACAAGAAAATACATATCACTTCTTCAACAATACAAAACTACAATGTTGCCTAAATAAGAAATGAAGAAATCCAAAGGAAAAACAAAAAATTAACACCAAGAGAAGTATCGAGTAAATAACATTTACTCAAGCATTCGAGGCTATAGCCTATGATGTGAACATGACCTATGACAAGGACTAGAACAAGGGAAGCAAAGGAAACTTTTCAACAAGTATTGCTGGTTGACCAAATTGTGTTTTGAATTAATCAATTAATGGACTTTAGTTTGGTTTTATTGCAAGTTGTAATAAGGGTCCAATTGGAAATTTAGTCATCAATCTTTGGGAGACAAGAGAATGCATAGCTGATTGACTTTTGGTTGCCACAATTTCAGTTACAATCAGTCATTAAGTAGTTTTCAATTTCTAGGTTAATAAATCATTTTTAGCATTTATTTTTCTTTAGTGAATCTTTGTAACTCTGAAGGCAAAACTTTTTTATAAATTGAACCATTTTTATCAGAAATAACAAGTTTAGTTTTATTTTTAGAAATATTAAAGTTTATCCCTTTTATCTTAGTGAGAGTGACTCTCCTAAGTTCTTGAATGATTTAAGAACTCTTGGGCTGTATCAAAGGACTTTCACATCCTTTGTCTTCCTTGGGAAAAGTGATTATTTCCTTCCACCTTATCACTAAATTCCTAAATTTCCTATAAAGATCCTAAATCAACCCTTGTGATTCATATTAGCCTACCACAAGAAGGTGATAGATATTATTAGTCATTACTCATTAATTATTCTACTAGCAATTCACTTTATACAAATTGTAGCACTGACCAAACATTGTGTCCAACTTACTGTTAAAAGCATTTCAATTCATATTCTATTTGGTTACACGTGCCTTCTTTAATTTGCTGGTTAGCCTAACCATGCTCCCATAGTCATGTTTCATCCTATAAACCTTTCTTATTTTCTTGAGTCATCCCCACCACCTCCCTCTCCTCTCTTGTTTAAAACTAGTTTTTGGTTGGGTACCAATTTGACCAAAGTTTCCTTCCTTTTTGCTTGTACTCGTCAAGGGAAAAAAGTGAAAATGAAAACCAATATGGACAAGAAATGCTGCTATAATAGAGTTTCCTATGCAGTATAAAAAGAAACTTTAAAAGCAAACCAGTTTTTTGTTTTAATAAATCATAATTTTTCAATGGAAATACCTCAATAAGAATTACTTACTTTTATGGACCACAAAGAAATTTAGGAATTTAGATACCCTATAGTGACTTAAAGTAAACTCTCTAAGTTTATCAAACAGCAAAATTAAACCTTGTGGAGAATAAAAATGCATGGTTTGATAAGTGGAAGGAGTTGAGTTTAAAACAAGGGAGTCTTCAAAAATTGACTTATAACTGAAGAGATTTTCGAAATTTAGCTTTTATTTGTACGACAGTTTGGAGGAAATAGTTATTTCTGATAGACAGACAGATTTCGCAGCCTTTCAGCACTTGTCTTGTTCATGTTTTTTCCAATAAATTATTTGCAGGAAACTGCTTCCACTCAAGTAAGCTAACCATTGTGATAGGGTTCTGATTCTAAAGAGGATTACACCAGGATGTATAGGCAAGACGTAGGTGGATAGTATCCTAGTTAATTGAATTGTGGTGTGGTGCACACTTGGCACAATTATGAGCTTTCAGTTATATAAGAGGAACAAGCAGGGAAGAAAAATGGGTAACAATTGGACTGGTTGGGGGAGAGTAGGTCACCAAAATGCCTCAAGTGTCTACCTCACCTTCTATCTTCCAATCACACTAATTAGATGAGAGTACACTGAACAGTACACTTTCTTTGGTTGTCTATTCTTGGCTTTTCTTCACTGTTAATGGTTTAATTCTTATCAAACTCATACCAACAGCTCCCAATTCCAGAGAGCTTTCATGACTGCAACTGGAAAGGTTTGCTAGAGCTGAGACATCACAATGAGGAAAATGTAGAACTTAGATTACTCATAGATGCTCAAATGAGACGTATGGAGATGTCAATACAAGAAATACTGTGTTGGCTGTAACAATTAAGATGAGATTTCAGAATGATGAAGACGCTCTGTATCTGATTCAGGAGTCGAGGGTGCATAAGGAATTTGATTATTGCTACTCCCCATACTTCATAATTATGTGGAATTTTGACACAAGGTAAATTGGGCTGTAGCAGTAATGATTTCTGCTTCAAGACCAAGAGGCTCATGCACGAATAGATTAAATCATTGTTGAATTTGAACCCTCACCAATAGCACAAGCTTCGGGAATAATCGATCCTTCACATTGTAAGAGTTTTATTATGTAGTCTTATAGGGCTAGGCTTGTGCTAGATTTACTACAACAGCACATAACCTTATTATTAGTATATATAAATATGAAGAGGAATATTAGATTAGTGTTTTATGCACATCTATCATCGCATCTTATATCCACCTAGTCTCACATTGTTTACAGTATCTGTATTCATTTTCCTCCTTTTCCACCTAAACCTTTTAATTTCAACAACTATATTATTAGATAAAATAAAATATATAATAGCATAACAAACAAACCTTGATATTAGCACAGAGGTCTTCCATACAGGTGTCTGGCATCTGTGCAATGAATGTCAAAGCTCAATTACCCAAAAGCCAGCACGTGGGCATTTCAATTTTCAAGTAAAAGAGACCAGAAACTCTAATGTAGATGATAATTTTGATCCGTAAGTGCAATCAGACAGCAGACTGGGAAGGACGAACAAATCAAATGCTTACCTTTGCCTCCACAGTCGCAGGAATTCCGGAAGTAATTTTTTCTTTATATTTTCTGAAAGTATCTGTAACAGTAAAGTAAAACATACCTAATAAGCTACAAGACCCCTTAGTGTGTAAACATGAATATAACAGTTTAATCTTTTTTCAATAAAACATGCATTGATGATAATCTATAAGTGGGACTTTTGACAGCATATATGCATAATCATAAAACATGATTACCCATTACCCGTTCGAGGGTGACAACACAATTTTTACCAACAATGGTTGAAAATTTGAAAATCACTCATCAAGGGAATTGAAAAGCTCAAATTTTTGTTGGTGTTCTCATAAGTATGTCCAAACGAGTACCTAATGGAATAGCATATATTGATCTTCAATAAGCATTTAAAGATTGAATTGAGATAAAAAAGCTTCAATATTTCTTTTACATTTTCTATCTTCCGATCCCTAAGGGTATACATCAAAAAACCCTATCTATGTTCGATAATGTAAATGTAACTATTATCTAAATTGTCATTCAATCACAAACCTTCATGAATGCTAAGTCATACCAAGGATAATATCTAAATAGTAGATACTTAGCAGTACAAGTCCGTTGAACTCTATTTTCAATGTCAAAATCACATTAAACACGGATATTTTTACATATGCACAGATCACCTTCCAAAGCAATTCGAAGAGAGGGTTTTTTGGGAACATGCCTTGTCGTTTATTATAGGCTTCTTCAGAAATTTGGTATTTTTCGACCAACGAAGTATCTTCCAGCCAACCACCAGAGGAGATGGAAGCTGGGTCAAGATCCACAACATGTAAACGAAACCTGGCACAGGAAAATGCAATGGGAAACCGCACAATACGAGTCCAAAGAAAAACCCTAAAATACAAACCCATCGAGAGGGGAATAGAAGCCAAGGGGTTTTGAATTATCAGAGAGATCGGCGATTTTGTCGTTGCGAGCATCGTCGTAGAGCTCAAGGTGCATGGAATTGACAGAAGTGCCGCATTTTTTCCAGAGCTTCTCCTTCACGCCTTCCACCGTGAGCTGTTATCGGGGAAACATTGCCTTAATGAATGAAAGGATTTAGAGGGATGGGAATGGAAGGGAAGCAATGAACCTGAAGCGAGAAGCGGGTATCGGAGTTGAAGGTTTTGAGATTGGAATGAGTGACGCGCAACACCACGGAGTCGTCCCCTTGGAGTTGGATGGTTGACGCCATCCCCTCGCTCACCACTTTCTTCTCTTCCTCTTTACTCTGTGTTGGTGCAGAGTATACTACAGGAAGGCATGGTTTCACTCTCTTCTCCCTGTTTCAGGTAATCTTCTTTATCAGAGTAATTTCTTCATTGAATTGTGTAAATGAGACCGCGACATTGAAATAAAATAAACCCTAAATCAAAATTGAATTGATGGGATTTATATTTTAAAATGTGATTTAAATCAATTTAAATTATTTGTTTGTATTGGATTAGAATCTAGCTCTACTATTTATTAATTTCTTTTGTTTAATTTTGAAAAAAAAAACACTTCTGCATACCTAAAAATAAACACTTTTAATAAAAAAAATGTTTTGTTTATAAATGTAACTAAACATACGTAATTACTATTTTGTATATAAGAATCATTTGTTAAAAAAACCACTTTTTTTTCAAAAAACACTTTAATTGAAGTTTAAACAATTCCATAACATGTGACTATAATTGTGACTATAATCAATAGTAATATCATTTTATTTTATTTTAACCTAACCTGATTTTAAAAACTAACTTAGATATAAAAATATCAACTTGCATTTACATATATGCTTACATGAACTTGATATGTCGAACCATCCATGGATATGCATGTGAGAGAGAGAGAGTGAAATGAATGTAACACGAAAATGTATACTTTTTGTTGTATTGATGAGAAACATAGGTGCTCTCCATTGTCTACTCCAAGCTTTACAATGTTACAGCTTAGTAGAAAACTGATTTGATGGCACAACCCAAATGGTTAACCACCCACTATTATTTTGGACAAATATTCCCTCCATCATTAAAAACCATCACATTATTTCTGGTAACAGGTGTACCACCTGCCCATGATGGGCCCAATACCAAGGCCCAAATTCCCTGCAAATATGTAACTTGGTCTCTCTACAACTCACAACTTCTCTAGAATTTTTAATTTTAATAAGATTCATCAAAGGATGATACTGATGAGGGGACACCGTTGTTTCTGGTGACCGTAACCTTGTTTCTAAAGCAAAAACTTTACACTAAATATAAGCACTGTGGCTAAAATGTGCATGGAAAAGTTTGGTTCACGTGTTAAGATACTAAGCTTCCACGCCAAAAGAGTGATGTCTTAACACATGCATTGTGTCATTTGGGTCGTGATGGACTATAACAGGTGTTAATACTGAGGCTGTTATGAGACAGACATGTTGGTTGCATTGTGAAGTAAATTTATCCTGTTCTGTTTGGGTAAATGGAAAACACAGGGTGAAATTTTGGATTAGATTTGTTGAGTGTTTGAGGAGGTGATGAATTGGATGGATGGTGATGTTTGAGCAACTTGCATGAGGAGGGTAACCCCGTCGAAACGGGCCCAAATGAGCGTGAGTTTGTTCGTAGTTGGAAAGAGTTGGGACTGTGGAAGTTTACAGGGCCACATGGGGATGCTCATCCTCACTAAACTTTAAATTCCCATATCGTTTTGAAAACCAAATAACAAACCTAGAATGTCTTGGTCGTAATTCATGCCATGACGTCAAATTAGGAACTATCTAGCGATCAAATAGAATTTAATATGTGGGTAAAAATCAAACCACTGAAATGATCAAAATTCTTAGAATTTTCTTGCTTAGTAGTACAGAAAGAATTTTGGAGTAAGGTACACTAACTACAGTTTTTTGTTTGTTTTTTCGTAATTTTATATCAGTCTGCAACATACTGTATAGTCTAAATCCAGTTCGGATAAATTAAGGATGAGTTGAAGATTGGGACCTGATTAACATGAACATTAAAACCATGTTATTGTTGTGGTATGGCAGGACAATTAATCAAACAGAAGATAAGAATAATAATTAGGTGGTACTTTGTCTTTAAGTGAAATTGTCGATCTGAATTTGGTAATAATGATGCCCAAGGCCTTTAATCGAGTTAGGTGCATTACCTAATTAGTTTTCTGCTTTCATTGCAAGAACGCCACTTTTATCATTGCTGTGACGAAAAATCAAGACATTCACCAAACCATCCCAACCCTTGCACAAAATGCACTCTTATTAGACCTACCCTCTTCCCTAGGGTACCCAAATTCATACACTACAACCAAAAAAAAGAGAGATTTTACCCCACACACACAAAAAAAACCATATATTTATTTCTATCTGGCTTTAAAACAATTTGGTCCTTTTGAGGAACTTTATTTCGAAAGTAAATAAAAGATGATGTTGAAATTTATTTAAACGTACACTGATTAATATTTTTTTGCAAATTGAAACAAACATGTCAGTCCCAGTTGGGGGTTCATTTGGGTGTGGCATGTTATAATATTAAGAATTCAGGAAGAGATAGAAACTTTGTTTCATATCGGATTCTTTTGGTGCGAAACTTTATAAAAGTATGATGATAATATATTAATATAAGTTTATGAAAGATGGAGGAATGAATGATTATTATTAGTATTCGATTTGCTAATACGTGAATTAATGAGGGTGCATGTGAGTCCAGTACTGATGTTTTGATTGGGGTTGGTGATAAGAGTACTGAAGCACATGGTAATCCTCAACCTCTGCAACTTTGTGTTCCCTACTCCCAGATACGTATGAAACGTTTTGACAAGCCATGTCTCTATCCTTAGGACCCTCAACTTTTATGATATCCCTTAATTCCATGGCCCCATGTTAATGACCCTTTCAGATTTGATTGAGGTAAAAAACATTTTTAATTTTTAGTTTATGATAATTAAGTTCATAAATATATAAATTTGATGCATTTTACCACCTTTTTTATTCTAACTTGGTATTCACTTAATAAAAGATGAAACTGAAGGAGCTGGTTGGTTGGCACAGTCAAATGTTATAATGAAATTGAAAGTAAAACGTAATTCACCATTTACCCGATTTTGCAAGGTAAACGCTAAAAAGAGCCAAAGTAAAAGTCAATCTGAGCTGGGACAATAACTTTTTATTTAATTCATTATATATTTTATCATTTTAATATTAAATAAGTAATAACTTCTTCTTTTTTAAAAAGAGTAAATTCTTTTAGTTCATTGTGAAAATAAAAGACAGATACTTATGTAACGTGGAGTCATAAATAATATTACTTATGTTATATTCATACGAAGATAGATAAAAGAAAAAAAAAAGTCATGGACAATATACGAGTGAATTGTAGCTCAAGGTTTTTAAAAAATCTACTACGGATTTTAGGACTTTTAGAGATTTTTCAAAAAAAAAAACAAAATTAAGTCAGTTAATTTTTAAAATAATTATTTACTTAAGATTTGTTTCTTAAAATAAGAAGAAGAAAACACAACGAACAGAAATAAACATTTTTTTTAAAAGACAAACACAAATGATCATGCCAATTATTTTGATTGATCTATATAGTCTTTCCTTAATTTAAGTTTTTCATTACCCAAATCGAACAAAAGTCCCATATGGTTTTTATTATTTCAGTAAATTATTTCATGACTGATTTATAGAGAAAACCATACATAATTTTTTAGGCACAAACAAACTCAGAATTCATGATAAATTTACTTTATTAGAAAGAGGAGTTTTATTCACTCAAAATCAAAAAGAAAGAAAAAAGGGTTCATAAAAATATGAAACTAAATAAGAACAATTTACACGACCGTATATTCAAAACTAAAAAAAAATTCTAAAATATATTTCATTTTTTTTACTAAAAAATTATAATTTATCTTTCTAAATTTTTAAATTATTGCTTTTAATCTTTATAAAATGAATTTTTTGTTTTGATTTTTGTAAAATATTTTAAAATTCTTCTAGAATTTAAAATTATTATTTTGATACTAAACATTATTTAATAAATCTTAGAAATATAAATATCAACATTATATCATAAAATACTTAAAAGTAATATTTAATTCACCTTTACTAATGATAATTCCAATTTCAAAATTAAATTTAAAAAAACTTTTTTATAAAATTAAAAGAAAACTCATTGATTTTAACGTAAATTAAAAATATATTTAATCCTTCTAAACTTTTGTTCCAATCAAGTTCAACTTCCAAGTATTTGTCTCAATGTTCATTATTGTCATCAAATTTGTAACAGTTTGAGTCACTAAAGCAAGAGTTTTAGGCCTCAACTTTTGGTGGTTCTAATTTTTTTTTAATATAATTTAAATTAAGTGCTTAAATTAATCTTATTTTGCTTTGTTACACTATATCTTTATAATTTTTCAATCATCATTCATTTATGTCCACCTCAGTGAGTCAAATCCTGATGTAAGATGATTTATTATCCCATTCCTTTGTGACAAGCTAAAATGTAACGTGGAAACCATTAACTTAGGCTAATTAATTACATTAAAATACTAATTGAAAATGATAAAGTCAAAAAATAAACCGAAATTATAGTATGTAACCAAGGCAAGACTCGACGAGGGTGTAAAATAGTGTGATAAATTGGTGTAATTCTGACGAATCTGTTCCGTTGAATTCAAATACAGCCCAGGAGGATGAGTGTAAGGTGGGGAGGACCACAGAGGAAGAGATTCTAGAGAATTCCGAAACTGCCCAAGTGGAACACAGGAAAAGCAATGAGAGTGTAAACACCACCAAGTACCATGTGTTGGAAGCAGGAACCCCCCCGGTGCACGTGCCTCTTAAAAGATGCCACGTCATGTTATGATGATGAAATGAGTGGCTTCAAATCTGATTGCCCTCAAAATGAATTCAACCACCCTTACAATAAATATATATATTAGAGAAGGAAACACAAAGACAGCACAAATAAAAAGACTGAATTTTTTTTCACAGCAAAAAGCAGAGCGCCAAGCTTATCTCCGCAGTGAGTCCCACTACACCAATGGGCGAGGTCTCCATAACCATCCATTCTCTTTCCTTTTCTTCTTCTCCTCAATTCATCATTGTCTCATTCCTGTTCTGATTTCTTTGTTTTCTTTTTTTCTGAATAGGAAGAGAAAAAACCAGAAGAAAGCAAAGTTGAGGAGAAAAAAACAGAGGAACCAAAGGAAGAGAAGAAACAGGAGGAAGTTAAAAAAGCAGAGGACTCAAAAGATGGAAAGGAATCCAAGGAGGAGGAATCTGCGCCGCCAGAAATCGTGCTTAGAGTCTTCATGCATTGCGAGGGTTGTGCCCGGAAGGTTCGCCGCTCCCTCAAAGGATTTCCAGGTCAGAGCCACTGTTTTTCTTTTTGTCTGTGTCCCATTTTTGTTTGTTGTTTCTCGTCTGTTGTTCTCGCACGTTGTCTGATTGTTCTAGAACTTTATCGGAATTTCAGGGGTGGAGAATATACTCACGGATTGCAAGTCTCACAAGGTGGTTGTGAAAGGCGAAAAGGCGGATCCGCTGAAGGTTCTAGAAAGAGTGCAGAAGAAGAGCCACAGAAAAGTTGAACTTCTCTCTCCAATCCCAAAACCACCAGACGAAGAGAAGAAACCCGTGGAAGAAGAGAAACCCAAACCAGAGGAGAAAAAAGAAGAGGTTCATAAATCAATACAAGTCAATTAATTATTTCCCTTTTACATCCTTTTATGCTGTTCTATTTCGGCTCATCGAATATTATTTGGCTCTGTGCAGCCTCAGGTTATCACAGTCGTTCTCAAAGTCCACATGCATTGCGAAGCTTGCGCGCAGGAAATCAAGAGACGCATAGAGAAAATGAAAGGTTTGTGTAACGTTTCTTGTGTGTTAACTTTTCTCTTCATTGTGAAATTTGAACACCAGAGGAATATGTGGATTTTATTCAATTCTAAAACATTACAGTACTACTTTTCTAGTTTTGATTCTCTTGTGTTATTCAGTTTATAAAATATTGAAGTGGTCCATCCAGCTAGCAAAGTCAGATGTTATTCTGCAACATTAATTTCATTTAAAATTCCATTTAATTAACATGAAACAGCTTACTTTTTTCATTATATGCGTTTAATGTAACATTAATAGTATGAAGATTGTTGAAAATGATACAGGTGTGGAATCAGTGGAAGCAGATCTGAAGAGTTCAGAGGTGAGCGTGAAGGGGGTGTTCGAGGCAGAGAAGTTGGTGGAACACGTGTCGAAGAGGACAGGGAAGCATGCAGAGATAGTGAAGCAAGAGGCAGAGAAGAAGGAGGAGGTAGCCAAGGAAGAGACAGGGGAGAAGAAAGGAGAGGAAGGTGAGAAGGAGAAAGAGAGTGGTGATAAGGGAGAGGAAAAGAAAGAAGGAGTAGAGGGTGAAGGGAAAACAGATGAGGGAGGCACAGAAGAAAGCACAGTGGTGGAGCTGAAAAAGAGTGAGTATTATTACAACCCTCCAAGGTATGGAATGGAGTTCTATGCATACCCTGGACCAGCTTACCCTCCCCAGATCTTCAGTGATGAGAACCCCAATGCCTGCACTGTCATGTAAGAATGGAGGAATGTCAGGGGTAATAGTGGAAGTTTTGTGGAATTATGGAATTTGAGTGAGTGATTGATTGCTATATCCTGAGATAGATGATGTGCCCTCTTTCTGTACTTTTCCTGCAAATCAAAAGTGAAATGAAATCTACATATAAGCTGTGGAGTTTTGTAATGTCTGTACTTTTCTTAAATTGTTAGTATTATATCGATTATGTATATGGAAAATATATCAGTAAAAAGTAATTACAGTTTCTTTTTAATATTTTTACACTTTTTATTAGTTTCCATCCAATCCATTATTTTTTTTTCTTTTTTTCATTTGTAATTTTGGACCTTTTAAGGAGAAAAAAAAGAGACACATTTTTACCTTTTTTCACTTGCATGTTGTTTGTCTGTGACTTTCTTAGGAGAAGTTCTGTCTTCGTACTGTTTGAGTAAGTTGGGACAAAATAAAATATGCATTTATGAACATCAACTAACAAGCTTGGATAAAATCAAATATGCATTTATGAATAAAATGAGGAGAGATATGTAAAGAATAAAAAAAAGAAGATAAAGATGAACTTTTTCTTTTTGGTGTAATTTGGTAAGTTTTTTATTTATTTAGTTTCAGTAAAGGACAAATAAAATACATGTTAAATTAAGCATTCATTGAAAATTGGTTTTTATTTGTTTTTTATCTTAAAGAAAAAAAATATAGGACGTAATTGCAAAGTTTTGTTCATTTTAGCCATGAAATACTAAGAGGGGAAATAAAGAATGGTTGACCCAGGGCCAGTACAAAATATTTGCGCACTAAAAGCATAAATAATGAAGAGATGGGTGAGAATTGCGCTGTTCTCGTGATTAGAGAGTGTATAATTGCTTACGTTACAAGATTTTACTAATAAAAAATTGATATAAACAACTTATTTGTATTGAATAACGATGATAATGCTAGAATGAATATATATATATATATATATATATATATATATATATATATATATATATATATATATAGAGAGAGAGAGAGAGAGAGAGAGAGAGATTATAAATGATTTAAAAAGTATTTTGATAAAAATAGTGGTAATAACAATTTAGACATTTAGCGAGTGTAAAAAAAACACACACACAATGTTCAGGGTTACAATGTGTTCTTCAATTTAAGGATAAACATTATTCTGAATTTGTTGAGTCTCAATTATAACATAAATAAAATACATTTTATGATACACATTATAAACTCTCATAAAATATCTCTTGAATGTTTGAAATGAAAGAATAAAAATTAAGACACCTATTAGAAATTAAGACGCTTTAAAAAGAAAACGAGAAGTAAAATAATAGCGTTAAGATACTCCAGACCTAGTTCAGAGATAGTGCAATCTTAAAAAAAAAACTTAAAGAAGAATAAACCAATCTTAAAAAGGATTTTACCTTTTTTTAATGGATATACTAACTTTTATATGATTTAAAAATAATAAAAAACTTTTTATTCTTATTCTTCATATCATATATATATATATATATATATATATATATATATATATATATAGTTAAAAGCCTATTATATTAAGGTTAGCACTAGATAATATCTAAGTTCTTAGACCCATATTATGATGGATGATGTGTATTTTTTTTAACGATAATCTATTAATGAGTTTTGATGGTAACAAGGAATGAGTGAAGATTAGAAAAAAGACATGTACGTTGAGACGAAACACTTAATATAAAACATATAAAAATACACATATATGTTGAAGCCTTTAAGCAAAATATAATTTTCGTCGAACGAGCAAATGTCTCTCATAAAACTAGATTAATAGTTTGTGTCCCATACGCAAACAATTCATAAGACTAGAAGAAAAACCAGTATCTAATATAGAAAAAAGCGAGCAATGTTCAAAGCTATTTTACTTTGAAAATACAAAGATCTTGTCATATAATAAATATGAATATTCTTTTACTTTTTAGATTCAAATTTCCACTTTTTACATAGTTTACATTTGTTCTTAACATGACCAGTAATGTAGTTAATCTTGGACTTTAGATGGAGTGCATGGACAACATAAAAAGTTAAGGGACTTGTACGAACTGCAGAGATATACTGTTCTAAAATTGTTATTACGTTTGAACGAGTATAATAGTGGGACAATCATAACGTGTGCGAGATTTCAAAATATGACTCGGCTATGACTCACCTTTAATCCACTGTACTTTCTTTTTGGAATGAATCATATATAAAATAAAGTATGATATCGATCTTTGGAAAAGAAGAGAAAAAAAAAATGCTCATGCTTTCACGAGAACAAATAGGAGAACTTATATTAAATTCGAAAGATATATAGTTAATTGCAGAATTTTACATGAAAATTCAATACGAAAGGATTCTATTAAAAAAAAGGACTTTGAGGAAGAACATATCAAAACTTTCGTGGGTTTGTAGCATATTGTATCTGGTTTTTTGCGTAGCTGCTATGGTGATTATTGTATCATAATTGTTCATCAAGTTTAACCATTTCTGCAATATTGTATTCATTATTTCTCGGGTTAATGTTTCCATTGCATAGGCTTGCGCATGTGTCGGCTTGTTGGAAATTTGGAATGAATATTCTAATATGTTTTTTTTTTTTTAATTATTCATAAGAATGATAAGGATGACTCTTTTAAATATTATAAATAATAATATTTTATGTATTAATTATTTTTCTATTATATAGTCAGTTATTACTACAATAAATTCAATTATATCATTCAATCTGATGTTTTAAATCACAAATTATTATAATTAATAAAGCTTCAAAACATGCTTAAATATATAATAGTATGTTAATAGTATTTCTATGAAGTCGAATTATGTAAAATTTCATAAATTTTACTCCATAAATTTCTTACGGGAATTGAAAGAACATGCGACTTAATTAAGTACCAGAAGGGCCAAGATTAGAAGTGGAAAGGAAAACTCAGAATCCAAATATTGATGTCTAAAGGCAAAGCACAGAAGAGTGTAGAAAAGCATTGGTGAAGCAAACGCTAGATGACAGAAAACTTAAAAAGAGTTGGTGGCATTGTTCTAAGCATTGGTACACAGAAAGCAACATTTGAGTACGCGAGGGGAGCCCCACTGTAACCCTAGAAGCGTTGCAGTGCACAATTTGATGCATTAATTCAATGTTTAAGCATTGGATCTCAACACTACGTGGAAAGTTGTCAGCATTTGTTTGGAGTAGTGGGAGCGTTGAAGGGGTTATTCCTAAGCACTGTAAATTCTGCTAAATTTTCTTAAACCAGTCACAGTTGCATGAACTCCACGATAATTCTTTTATGAGTTTGATGCAATTAACTTTTCTTTATGCTTAATGCATTCTTTAACTGGTCATTGGTGAATGGATTGTATAAGAAGCTATGGACACAATTGAACTTATCGTTTACCTTGTTTGAAACGTATGTTTTATTACAACACTTGGTTTGATTCAAAAGGTTGTACTAAGTCTTTCAGTTAATTCAAAGTTCATATATCATGAATGAACTTTTGTCTATAATAAAAAAAATTAATTAATATAATTATAACAAATACAAAATAAATTCAAGTATATTTTTTATTGTTCATGTAACTTCAATTTAGAAAAGTCTTACAGAGAAAGAACAAGAGGAGTACTGAACTGGCATAGGTTTCACCTAAATTCTTGAAAATGGGACTCTTTTTTTGAAGACCACACCACTTGTCCTCAAAATGAATCGTGAGTCAGAAAAAACTGAAATGGTTTTTTCATCCCTAGTACTAGGGTTAGTTCTCCATTTCCCAGGTAGATTAGAAAATCACTTCATAATGAGCACCTGAAAAAGCTCATCACATCGTTATTATTGTTTATTAGAAACTTAAAACCATCGTTATTATTGTTCTTCGTTTCATGCTTTGGGGAGTAATAATGTCCTCCCATCTGCATTATTCGTTAGATAAGTTACTTCTGTTATTGTTAACCAGTTTTATTGTTGGCAGAAACAAAAGTGTTGGATATATAAAAAATTAATGATTGAATTTTTGTTGTTGATAACTTTATTAAATATATTCTTGAAATTATGACGGGTACATCAACAACACCTTTTAATAAAAAAATATTTTATTTATTTATTAATCATTTGTACAATAAATTGTTAAATCGTAACTGTATTATTGAGTTTATGTTCTCAAGCACTTGTTAAATCTAGATTTTTGTTGCATGAATTAAAAAAAATCTTAGTTTTAATTGCACAACAACAATTAAAGTATTTAAAATTTTCCATCTGAATATTATCCTTTCTAAATTAATATCTCAATATTTATTTGATATTTTCTTGTCAAATAATAATTATAATTCTATTTTTTTCACGTATATAATCCTTTTATTAGTTTTTCTAAATTAGTTTTATCTCATAAAAATTAATATTCACATTGATCAATGTTGATTAATAATTTTGGAGTCAAATAATATATTAATAATAAATAATAAATAAATATAAAAAAATAAAATTATAAAATATATAAAATCATAAATTATATAAAAATTATAAATTTTTTGAGATAATACAATAATTTCAACAATCTTCATTTACATTTATTAACTGTCAATTTTGACATTTTAAAAAAAAAAGGTGGAATCACAAATAGGAGCATTACATAGAAGTATTATAAAATATAAACATACATTAAACAACAACATAAAGTTACTTGACTTATATTTTTGTACATACAAGATATTTTTTCTTCTCATAAACACATATAAAAATAAAATATTACAATGCAAAAAGGTACTCTTCTAAATATAAAATATTACAGGCAAAAAGGAACTATCTGTCTCAAAAGTGTTATTTAGTTTTTAATATAATATTAATTAATCTTTTTAATGTATACTCTTATTAATATTAATGATACATTTAAAAACTAAAAACGAATTAATAATGATAAGATTAATTTTATACAATTCTTATTCTCTTTCATCATTTCTCAATTTTTGAAAAAAATAAATAAAGAAAAACTACGACCAC